AACTGAGCAGGGTGAGCTGGGAGCCTGGGCTGGGGCTCCGTTGTGAACAGGGTAGTCAGGTAGTGTTCAATGAACTCTCCTTAGTGTATGTGAGGGCTGAAGAATGTTCTACCCTTGGATTGTGTTTAGTAAAACACCATGGAAGGTAATTTAATACAAGGAATCCTTGTTCTTTTTTACCCGGCAATGTTGTTTTTTACGTCCACCAGAATAATTTCCAATCCGCAGCTCATGCTGTTGGAAAGCGTCTCCTGGCTAGTGGTTACACCGCGAGGAGAGGGGAGGCTTTACACGTCAAATAAAAAAACGCTCAATTTTATGATCACAACAACACTGCAAAACTACTCGTAGACGTGGGTTTCCTTCCTTCAATATGACGAATTAGAGAAGCAGGAGTGGGCGTGTAGTTAACTAGAGCAATCTCCTAGGAAGTGACAATTACACCTGCTAAGTATGTTCCGAATAGAGGTGGAACCATATGGATTGATTACGGCCTGTGTTTTTGACTTGCTGCAACCAGGTACGTGTAATCATGTAGCCATTTTCCACTTCCGCTACTGTTTGTGTTGGAGAGAGACTGATGCCATGCTATGCGGATCTAGAGACTAAAAAGCAAGGAAAAATGAGACTTAGTTGGAAAAGGTCATCAGTCGTTTCATTTCGTCTCCTAGCAGACCATTTTTTTCTCCTTCATATCTTCAGTTTTGTTTTTTGCGATCGAGAATGAGATAACACGATATGTTTTGGAAGGCCAATCAGAGTGCAGCCAGCTTCACCGTGTATCAGCGCGCTGCAATGACACGATACCATTTCCATCTTGCAGCTCGACTGCGTTATGGAGTTATCTAATTCTACCTGACACTTTATGGTAAAAAAAAAAAAAAAACCCTGCAAGTTCGCTAGCAGAGGAAGGGAGTGAGTGTTTCTCGTTACTGCACATATTTACGGTCATATTACAATACTATAAGGCCGGGCCTCCGGGGACCATTGTATCTACCTCGCCGCGCGCATTCTGCCCTTAATTCTGCATGCCAAGAAGGACCAGATAGGAAGATACAAGAGTTTTCAATAATGTTGGCTTTATCGGGGTTATTTGAAAGCACAAATAAAAAACACCTTTGTCTCTCCCTCTGTGTCATGTGTTTTGTGTAAAGTTGTAGTTAAAACAATATGAAAAAATAAAATAAAAACTACCAGGAGGACAGCGGAGGGCAGAGAACCTCGGTCCTCAATGAAGATACTTTCTGGGTTTACACGCATGTTTCGACGTATCTGGTGGTATCATATGCTCCATGGACCCTCTAGATTAGGTGCCTGGTTTCGTATATAATTATATAACGCAAGGTTACCTCGCCTTTGTTTCCTTCTTTAGTATAGTATTTAACTTTTTAAGTGACTTTTACGATCCATACATTCACGAATGTTGACCCGAAAATTACACGCGATGCTTAAGACCATGAATCTACAAGCTAGGTTCTTGATAAAAAAGGCTTCTTCTTCTTCTTCTTTTTTTGGCTGGTTGCTCTGCAAGACTGCAACCCTCCGACTGGAGGGTTACACGGACCATGGTGGTTCCATCGGTGAATCATGTGTTTTCTAGAGATATTGACATGCAGAACTCCCGAGGAGGAATAGTAACACTTAAATAGAGGACAAAATCATGCACGCCAGTGTTCAGCAACCGGACCTCAGCCAGGTCTCCACAAAGTATAACCCGCCCATTAAAGTCTGTGTCGTTACAATTTTCAGCACAGCCAGCAAAATTATCCTCTGAAGTTTAAAGTTTTAATTTTAATCTTTTAAGATCCGTAACTGTATAAAAAGCAAGCAAGACAACCCAAAATTTTAAGATTATTTAATTTGGTTTTTTTTTTCATAATTTGTATGGAGAAAATTTTAATTTTTTAAAAGAAATTTTATTATATATATATAACAAGCAGCGAATAAATTTTTTTTCCCCACAAACCATTACACACCTTGTTATTTCTTGGATTTCATTGCAGTGTAATACCTTAAATGTGTTGAGTTACTATATATAAAAAATAGTTTTGAGACGTGAATATCACTGTATTAATTGTCTCTATTATATTTGCTTCATAATTAAAATAATATATCTTCAAGATATAACAAATTTTTTAAACTTATAGACAATAACTCTATATATATCTCTTAAGAATTTATAATAAATGTTAATAGAGTTTGTAAAGAAAGACTAGAGAGAGAAAAAAATTATTTTTTAATTATTTTTATCAATATAAAATTAATATTTATAAGAAAAATAACATTTTTTCAAACCAATATATATATAGAATTTAAAAACACACATCTTTAGATCAATATATCTATAGAATCTAAAAAGCAACCCTTCAAATAAATTAACAGAATAACTTGACATGAGATGTAATGTATAATTAATTAATTCTGAAAATAAAAATAAAAAATACTTATTTTACATAATAGAAAGTGGCCAAGTGCCATCTCACACGCGCGCGCGCAACTCTCATATATTTTATTACAATCAAATTTCTCTTTCCATCCTTCTCTATTTTCATCCTTTATGTTTTGAATTATAAAGTATTTATGGGATGCTTCTCTTTCAATTTGAGTTATAGAGCACATTTTGGATTCAAAATAAATTTACACAAATAGATTTTATTTGTGTTTTGACGGTTAAGGTCGGATTGTGATATGGAATATATTGAATTAGCAGGTCAGATTCAAACATAAACTGACCCGACCTGAACCATGCATGCACACCCTTATTTTGGTGAAGTTGGGTTCGAATGGTCAAATAAAAAAAAAATTGTTCTATACTCTTGGAATTAATTTCCCCCCCCTCTTATACTTCCATATCTATGTTTGGTGAATATATGCAGTCCACTACATTAATTATTTGCGAGACTAGCACATTAATTATATACATCTCTACTAGCAAAATAACATAATAATACTAACAATAATAATAATAATTTATTTATTATTTTTATTATTAAGTTGGGTGAAGAGATGTGACAGAAGTTGATACTAAGGTAATTTAAATCTCCAGTGGGAATCTTTGAGATTTTGTCGAGGGAATATAGTTTTTGCATCAAATCATGATTCAAGAAACTTTTTGAATCCATGCTTGATATGCATGTTGTGGTCTTGCGTGGCAACCATTTATTATGGAATAGATGCTACCCTGGATTTTTAAATTAACTATCTTATTCTGCAATTAATTCAATTCCTATTATATATATAATATACTAGTTCAAAGAATATTTTAGGGGGAAATAATATTTCCAGTTAGGTTACTGACAATTCATTGATTTTAGAAAGAATTCTGCAATCAGGCTGATCAATTATTTACACTAGGCACTGTCAGATATACAAAAAAAAGCAGAGAGCGACTGCACAAAAATAAAAATAAATTAAATCATGGTTACAAGTATGCCTGTATATGTATTATCTGGAATATTTACAACCATATAGATTTATATGAGATATCCTGCATAGATACCGAAAGGCATACGCAGCCCTCTATTGCAAATTGTTTATATGAATAGATAACCAAACCTTTCTCGGTAAACTACGTACACCCTAAGATTGCTTTCTTATCATAAAAAAGAAAAGAAAAGGCATGGAGTTTTTTTGTAAGCTTGATAATTTAAGTTCGACACCATATTTGAGTAATTAACTAATGAAATCTTTGGACACCACGCATCTAAGATATTGTGTAGATCATATGCGCAGAATATATGTGTGTGTGTGTGTGTGTGTTAGCTATAAAACCCTAGACGGAGGTAGATATTAACCTAGGTCTTCAGAACTGCAACGTTGAGTGTTCATTGGTCCACTGCAGAGTAGATGCAGTGAACTTCTAACGATAGCACGCATCAATATTCGTATGATGAGGAATATAACAACGAAAAGGAATCTATTACAAGAGAGAGAGAGAGAGAGAGATAAATTGTTAAAGATATCATCAACGGGATAAAACAGATGTTGAGATCAGAAAAAGGTATATAGTTGGGATTGAAATCAGTAAATGATATCCCGAAAGGTTAGGCAAATCGAATCAGGGCTTGGGAACACTAATTAGACTCCATTATAATTGAACTGCATCATAGACTCCATTCACTAGCTATGACACTGCGTATGCACCTGGTTCCATCATCACACCAAGCGCATCCAAAAGAACTGCTTAATTTCTAAATAAAAAGAAACACTTAAACAAGCAAGATTTTCCTGATTGTCTAGATCAGATATGTTTCTAATAACCGGTAATGATGTGTAGCTGGCACCAATTAATCACATGCAGGACTGGCAAATATCCAAGATATGGCAAGTTTGCAAAGAAAAAGGTTATTACCAGTGAACCAAGAACATATGCTTATATGGAATTGGGTTAAATGCACATCAAATTATCGTCAGAGAGAGAGGGCAGCAAAGAGAGATTCACTGAATTTTCTTCGGTGGAGATGCTACTCCATTTCCTTTCTTCTTTAATTATGTGTGAACCTTATGCAATATTTGCCTATGTAACCATGCAAATATTAGATGATTAGAGATATGGTCCCCTCGGATACTCACTAGCGTTTCTACACCCACCCTTTTGGCTCATGGGTTGATGCTTTACTTCTCAGAGAGCTAGTCCCCCACTCTCTCAGGCCCCAGCCTGAAAAGTTATTAATGCTCTTACAATATATATAGAAATACTCACTAATCTGTCTGCAAAACTGCATGGTGCTATTCTTGGCGTGACAATATTCAATTTGCATCCCTAGGGACCACCTCTTGCATTTTCCATCTATAAATCCTATTTTAAATATTTTTAATATTAATCTTCACTATAGCTATAGCTTTTTCACGGTCCTCCTATTTAATAATTTCATCTACCAATAAATAAATAAATAAATAAACAAACCTGATAATTCAAAATTCCCTTTCAATCCTCTCCTCATCCTTCTATTTATACCTCCTTTATCCTCTCCTCTCTTCACATCAAAGCACCACCACAGAAACTCTTGTGGTTGCTTATAAAATTGGCAGCTCCTGGTATTTTTAATCTATACCATACGCTAGTTCTTCTGATGAGACTGTGCATCTTCTTATCGTGCACCACTATCAGTTGAAGCTGCCAGCATGATCTTAACCTTCCTTCCTTGTCGAGGAAAGAACAGATCATGTGGCAGTTTCACCTGAAGTTGGCATCACGAGAAACCCTAATTTCTTATTCTAAATAAACCCTAATAATTTCCTCTTGTTATTCTTTCTTAGATGGCTAGCTAATATTAGGTTTTCCTTGTCCAATCCCTAGAAAGGTATGTGATCTTCTTTATGAAGATATATCATTAGGTCCCTAGAAAGGTAAGTGATCTTCTTTATGAAGATATATCATTAAGGCTCATCTGTAGTTCTTGGGGTTTGCTTCTTACTGTTTGTGTTTGCACTAAAAAGTTTTTTTTTTTGTGTGTGTGTGTTTATTACTGTATTCTTTGTTGTGTTTCTGCTCTTTTATTATGTGAGACTTGTGCGGGAAATTTCCAGTGCTAAGCTTTGTTAGGGTTTTGGGTTACAGGATTTTTGCGTCTCGGTACAGTTCCATGATTTCAAGATCCCTCCTGGTGCTTCGGTGATTGAGCCCTGAGAGTCCTATACTTAGCCAGTTGTACGGCACTTGTTAATTAATTTGGTATGCCTCCTCTATTTCCTGCAGATTACTTATAATTATGTATTATCTTATTTTTCTGTTAGGGTTTTATAGTACGGTTATATGAATTAATTCTGGCTTGATTAGATCAGCGGAAACAAATTTCAAAATAATAGCATTCATTTAGGGTTTCAAAAAACCTTTCATATCAACTTCATTTTTAGTTGATTTGGAATTAAAGCTCACCTTAATTAATAGAGTGGCTAGGGTTTCTGTGAAGTGCGTTCCTCGCTAGTTTAACTGCTTACAAATTAAAGTGTGTGTGAGATCAGAGAAAAAGAGAGGAGCCAATGTTTTCTTTAAATATTTTGCATTTTTAAAACTAGCATTTCTCCTCTCGATTTGCACCCAGTATATGGTTTAGTGGGCCAGTTGAGATCCAGTTATAGATTCATGAAACAGAAACTAAATTATTATTCTTATGTTTTGAAAAAATTGCACTTTTTTCCTTTGTTGCTTCCCTTTTCCAGGTTCTCATAAGGTTGATTTGTTCAGTCTTCTCACTTTGTGAGTTGGATCTTGGTCATTTTGTGTATTAAATCTTTGTTAAACATCACCACCACAAACCACCCAAAGTTAATAGCTGTCTTATGTTTTGTGGAAAGGAGTTGAGATCGTAAGATATCATCGTTAGTTTGAGACTGGTCAAGATAACCTTTGTGTGTTTTTGTGTGTGTGTGATTTTGCAACTTTGATTTCATGGAAATAGTAAGGTGGAGAGACTACTTGAGATCTGGAGAATACATTATGAAACAGCCATGTGCATACAAGAGAACAGAACATTAAAGATGCTAATATATGAAGGATGATAGCTAATATATATATATATATATATATGAAGCATGATGGTTCCGACCCTCGAGTTATCTCTATCTTTCCTAGTATATGTCACATCTCTCTTTTATCTAGACGCATGTACTCCCTGGCAAAAGTTTCAGGTACATAACATACACACAAACATACGGGAGATGTTTATGCTAAGATACACGAAGTCTAGCTCCTATCTTGGTAGTTCAAGTTTGACACCTCGATCTCTTTTGGTAGAAATCTCTATGTGGACAAGATTCCATATGGCTTTCCTTTTTCCAAAGAGTATCCAAATAAGCAAAAGCGTCACTAGTTTGATTCTCCCAACTATTACCGGAGGTTGCAGTTGTCATTTCCATCAAGCACATTGGGTGGAGGATCCGCTCATAAGGCCTTGTTACATGCCATTTTAAGGATGGTCTTGGGAGACATCAATGCTAGCTAGACAACGACAATACAAGAAACTTGTATTCTTAAAGGGACCCAGGAATGGCTCGCGTTCAATTAGTGAAAGAGAGAGCGCTTGAAAATGTTAGTGAAGTGTACGTAAGAACCTGTGATGGGATTGTGTTTTAAATGGATATATAAAGCTTGTATGTATTCTGGTTCACAAATCATATGCGGGGATGGTGGTTTCTTTTATCCCTTCAATAGAAATTAATGCATATATAATGTGATTTGATTTAGTTGTTGATGATATGCTAAAAAAACCAAGTAATTTAGGAGTAAGATTTATCTCTGGAATAATCTGCTAATCCATTGGTTTTAACAATATAATCTATTTTTATTGACCATGATGACTGGTAATCATTATTACCTGCAAAAAAAAATCTCTCTGATTCTTTTAAACAAGTGTTTTAAACAAAAAAGAAACACCTTAATCCATTAGTTATTGCAGTTTTGCTTGCCTTGCATAGCGCATCACTTGAAGTTTAGAGATATATATGCTTAGCTTTCGAACGTCGGCTTAATTAATGCATATACTATGAGTTCCATTTTTAAGTCTTTATTCTGCCTACTCGATTGTGTCTCTGTTGTCATTGCGGGCTGATGATACTCTCTCTCAGAAATGTAACTGCTAGCTTTGGTGCATCACGAAGTGAAAGCAGAAATTAAGAAAGGTGGTCGGTCACCTAAAACCAAGTTAATAAAACGTAAATGGCCGAACAACAAGAAAAGAAAAGACAGAAAGAAATGCAAATGAAAACTTGGTTATTGTTAAACATGGATTTGAAAACAGAAAAGATAAGAAAACAAGCAAACTATGTAAATACTATTTGCATTTTTTTATATAAGAATAATATTATGTTGTGGAGAATCATTTCTATGGAGATTATTGATTAGGTAGTGGATTGTACATCGTCTGCTCAGAGGTAATGAAAGATTAAGCTACTACCTGTACGTAATATTTTCTAATCATTTCTATTTTTTCAATTAAGTGTTTCTTCTTAAATGCGTAAACTTGCTAGTGATGAGTTAATTAAATAGACGTCACCTGCATCCTTATCATGGAATCCGCTAATCATAGAATTTAAATAAAAAAGAAAATCGAAATTGAGAAAAAGAAAAGAAATATATAAATTAAATAACAAAGATGTAAATTGTGTTTTAGGAGGAAAATCTTCCATCTCCTGTTCTTTTTGTGGGCTGACAATAAATGCTAAATAATCCGGAAACAACGATAAAAAAAAAATGCCAAATTTCCCTCATAAAAATTAGAACATGATGTTACTCTCTTTCTTATGTTCATAAAATTATGTATAAATATTAAATCCTTATCAACTCTGGATTTTATATTTAACTATATTGAGAGATGATTAAATTAATAACTCGCAAACTAAAGTTCTGGATAGTATTCAGTTTGATTTAAAAAAATAAAAATGATATTTTTTTAATTTTTTTTTGAAAATATATCATTTTGTATTGTCTAAGACAGCTTTAAAAATTGGAAATTAAGAGACTTTTTGAGTTTTAAAACTTGCTATTTTTATTTGAAATCTTAAAAAATTCCTTAATGACAAGAATATCAATAATGCTTACATTGGTCTTAATTAAATTTACTTACATAAAAACTATGGAATGTTTTTATTCTGATTTCTTTTTTTCATATATTATTTAAAAGAATTTTGAAGCATTCATTTTTTCAAGTAATTTTATTTTGAGAAAAAGTCATGAATTGAAGTACCGTCCTTAATCGTAATTTAGTTCAAACAGCACAATAATAGATTAATAAATACTGAAGTGATTTTACTTACTGCATGATACAGTATTTTATATCAAGCAATTTGATATGTTTAATCTTATAGCATAATGCAGGAGTCAGATAATGAATAACCAAAAGCCGAGTTTTTGTAAGACCTACACCCATACTTAAATAAAAAATTAATATTTTATATTTAATTCAAGTAAAGTTTTTAGATATCCATTTACATATTTATATCTTATTCATTGTATCTATTATTAAAATATATACCATTATACAAAATGATTTTTTCCATGATCACGTACAATTGAAAGTTTCAGTACACCGATATTGCTGCCAATGTGGTTAAACTTGTAAAATTACGTTAATATGTATCTAATATATAAAATTGAATTAAAAACTTAATTAAATTAATAAAGTCGATCAAAATTAGTTAAACTTGTTCAAACATAATAAAATCAATAAATTCAAATCTATTTTACATGTTCGAAAGAAATATAAAATTGTACAATCTAGTAATATATATCTTAGTATTTTCATTATTTTAAATTTATATCTTATAAAACTTGTGCAATTTGATAATGAAGGACTTGATTTTGACTATAATTATTTTAACTATATAAGTTATTTGTGGATTTCAATTTCATAAAATAAAAATATCTATTCATTTTTAATAATTCTTTATGCAAACTATTAACATATTAATTGACAATTTTCTTTGTTTTAGTTGGCAAATATATAGAATAAAAGTTGTAACTTGACATGCATTATTCTTAGAGTAATTAATGTTAAATAGCCAACTAAAATTTAAAGGGACTCATTTCTTACAAAAGACGAAAGTAAGTGAGTCAACTTGTCCAAAAAATAGATAAATCAATATGAAAAAAATAAAGGTGTTTTGATTTTTTTTTATTTTTTTATTTTTATTTTTATTGTGTTATATTGTTAATTACTACCTGACTAAAATTATTAATATATAATTAATTAAAATATTTTATTTATAATTTTATACTTCGAGTTTACAATCTGAGTTTATGTTATATATTTTGTATCGTATCAAAAAAATATTTTTAACAACCTTGACACCTCCTACTTATCAAAAATTATCAATATAAGAAGATCTCCTGTGAAGATGCTAAATGAAGAGTTAAAAATAAATAAATAAAATTATTCTAATTCTTCAAAAGTTTATTTTATACTATTCAAGAAAAGTGCTAAACAAAATGCTATTTTATTATTTTTTTAAAAAAATATTATTTTTACATGTCTTGTAAAAATACTAAAACAATATTCATAGCAAGCTTGAGTTTAATGACCGAAGAAGAAGGTTGTCGAACCAATTGATGGTTTTTGAACCCCAGGTCGAAATAAAAGGAGTAACGTGAGGATGAAGAAGGAGAAGAAAAAAAGTAATTAAAGCAAGGTGGGGATTGTGGTTTTGTTGGTTTTAAATTGGTTATAGCTTGCTGGAAGAATTCTCCTCCAGACTGGTGTGCGAGAGAATAGTCGGAGATGCCGAGGAGAAAATCAAACAGCCCTGGCTCTGCTGCAGTCCTTTTTTTCCTACGGGGTCGGTTTCGTGGAATGCCAGCAGTTCTTCGGTGGAGGAACATTTCACGGTTGGTGGCCCGAATCTAAAATAATTGGGTTTAGGAACATTCCTTGCTCCTCCCATTACAGTATAATTTCAGGGTTGGGCTCGAGCTTAACATTTAACATCATGCGAATAAATGTTCTAAATTTGAAATGCTTTGGCCTTTCTCCTGTTAATTTTATTTCTGCCAGTCTTAAATCTGTTTAAGCAGTGTCTCGATATAGCCCCAAAACTTTGTTTTATCTCAATCACCCCCTTCAAGTTTGAACAATTTTTCAATTCTCCTTCTCTACATCTCCGTTTATGAGTTAGAGGAATTGATGGTATGGCATTCTTTTGCTCAACTGATCTCTTGAAGATTAAAAAAAAAATTCTCAAACAATCATCGTTCCCAAAATTTAAGAAAGCTTCTATTTGTTAGGGAGCCTAACCAACTTAAGTTTTTTGGGTTGAAAATGTTTTTTTGTCTTATTAATTAAGAAATTATGAGTTCAAATCTTATCATCTTAATTTTAATTAATAAAAATTAAGTTTAAAATAATGTGAATATATACAAATTAAACTATTTTTTTATTTAATTTTTAATTCAAATATAATTCAATACTTCTTTAGGGAATATGGTGGATGGAAATGAATTGAGATTAAATTTGCAAGGTATATATACACACACAAGCGCATACAAACATAATGATATAATGCTAATTTTACATAAATTTGCAAGGTATACACACACAAGCGTATAAAAACATAATGATATAATGCTAATTTTACATAAATTTGATGGTTAAAAATTCTTAAGTGATTCCTTGAAAAAATCTATGGGTAAGATTATTCTATAGGGACAACCATCATTTAGTAGTTAATCCTTTTGGTTGTTTTAAATAAAAACCTTCATATTGAATTCCTATATTTTTACATGTTTATTCCTTGATGTTTCGATTAGTTTTTGTTATAATTTAATTGTCTTTTTTATCCCGAATTACCCTTTTTTTCTAGTCAAAATTTTCAGTTTCACCAGCCACAAACCAAAATAAAAAATACAGTTTGGAAATTTTTTTTTTAAAACCAAAATAAAAAATACAGTTTGGAAAAAAAAAATTAAAAAAAAAGGGTAATGGTCAGCTTTTATTAAGGAAATAACTTGCATGATTTTTCAAAACTAAAAAGACTTGCTTACAAAATCCAAAAAAACAAAGGAAAAGGGAAAGGGGACTCTAGAGAGCTAGAGTTTACTTGCTCTATTCATGCACATACATATCTACGTCTTTTGAGCTTGTGTTTGTACGCATATCATCATCACATATCATTAGAGAAATTGACAAATTGGACCCAGAAGAAGGTAACAGTAGAGCAAGCAGAGCTCGCTCCAAGTCAATTTTTGCTGCAAATTCTCTACCTGGATTACTTGTCGTGAAATTGTTGGGTACGAGGGCTACTGGCTGGGTCTCATTCCGGTGCTCCATGCTGCACTCTTTGCGTTGTGCCCCCAGCAGCACCAAGAAACCTAGGCTTGGCTTCAATTTTTCACCAGCCAACTTTATGTCTTTTAGCCTTTGAAATACTAATTGTCATTTTCGTCTGCATTGCAGTCTGGAGAAATGAAAGATAACGAGCTGATACCTGCATATCTAATCATACACACCTCTTATATCTTCACCAAGAACTTAAGACAGCTCAAATTCGGGATAAAACCTCACAAGTCACCAAATATGCACTCTTCAAAGTGGCAAAATTTCCTACATCGTGATTAATTCATAAATGAACATTTCTTTACAAGGCCTACATTCTTCCCATCATCTATGGCTACTTGG